CTCTACTTGGGAGTTCGTTTTACAAGAACTCTCAGCTGGAAGACCGACGTTCAGGAATCCTTAAATAGGATAAGACAGGGGTTTAATCTCCTGAAAGTGCTAACCGGTAAAATTGGCGGAACGTCTTCCAAAACTTTGTTGCACACCTAGAAAACTTTTGTCAGATCGATAATCGAATAAAAGGCATGCGTTTACATCTCTCTCAAGAGTCACCAACTGAATGGCCATTGCAGTTACTGAACGTAGAATACTAAAATAAGAAACATAGCTGGCTCGAACAACAGAGCAAAACGAACACTAAAGACGCCTTGCAATTATAGAGGGCAAATACTCACCAGGTTTCTCACTAAGAAAGTTCCGTTTCCTCCAGCAAAAATTTTGCAAAACACTGGATATGAACTTCCTGATGAGTATTTTGAAATTCTAGAAACATTCCCCATACAATATCGCAGATAAAGACTGCGCGCCAAAAACTCTGATAAAGAGCCGTTCCCACTCTATTGCTGGTAACCCCTGAAGTACCTTAACTGGCATGCTAGGCAATTCTCACTTCCTCTTGTGCGTTTCTATCGATCACACATACAAGTCACCTTCTTTTCCCCCTGCTCCTTAGTAGTCAACTACTTCTTGAGATCGGGCATCTTTTAATTGACGTTTATCACACCCCCACAACTCCGTTAAAAAAAAGAAGTAACCCATTCCTTGAAGAGGCTCAGGCCTAAACAAGGTTAAAACTCGTGTGTCATGTTGCTATGTCTTGAACGATGAAAGTGTGATGAAAGCGAAATATGTAATTTTGCGTAGTGCTTAATGATCTATCCAAAATGAGAGAATCATAATGACTGAACAATTCTGTTGTTAGAACGTCGCGAGTTATTGTCTCAACTGGAGACGAGAGAGTATTTTATTAACAGATATTGTTTCTGCTAAGCGCCAATTTATTTGGAACCTTAACAAAAATTGGAAAAAATTTTTTATTGCCTTTAATGTAATGTCCAAAGTTTGATTTATCTGTATTATTGGGATGTTCTTTGATCCTCTGAGCCAGGGCTTTTATTTTTCTACCCACATGAATCATGTTACAATCACCACAAGACAGTTTATAAGTGTATAACTTTTGTTTTTTTTTTTATCAGTTTTGTCCTTAGTTTTCCTAAAAATTTACATAATGTTGTGTTTTAAAGAGATATTTAAGTTACTGATTTTACTATAAAGTACCCTTGATATTTTTCCGAAATTGGTCCAAAATAAAATAAGGATCTAATATGGGAACATGTAACCAAAACTTAACCTTTTTTAAGTAAATATAATAAAGGAAAAATAATACGTCCATGTTTGAAAGGCATAAATTTTGAGCGTTCTAGTGCGCGAAGAGTCCAAGTTTCTCCTCGGTATATTATCTCCTCCATATTTTTGGCGTCTTTGAACTTCTGCTTCACAATTGCCATCGTTAACTATACTAGATCCGAGATAGTTTTAGCTTTCTACTAGTTAACTATTTCTGCAAGAAGTTACTCAGCTGATACGTGTTAAATATGTCCATCACTATTATTTTCGTCTATTTTTTATTAATTTAAAAGCCAAGTTTGATGTTTTTTAACTCAAATCTTTGCAAGAAACCTAGCATTTCTTGTTTATTTGCTGCTATAAGTAAAATGGCAACAGCAAATCTTAAACTCGAGATTTTTCCACCAGCTACCGTTATTCCATCGACCCATCGTTTTAAAGCCATCCGCATAACATGTTTAACTCTCACAATATGGAACAAAAACTGCAACTTTCAAATTTTATTAGTGTTTAGGACTTGTATCTGTTTTATCATTCTTTCCAATATTACGTCGTTTGTAACTCTGTCCAACCAGCTTATTCAACCATTCTTCTGTAATTCCCATTTCGAAAGCCTCCAATCTATGAGAGATCTGTTTCTTTAGCGTCGATGCTTAAACTTTATTCCCAAAGAACACGTATCACCTCAAAGTTCACGGCTCAGGGCATTCTCTTGCATTTAGTTTTTTTTTGGGTAAGGGAATAAAAGTATACAGTCCGTCCCAAACCCTTCTTTCAGTGCGTCATAGTTGTTCGAATTCTCTCTAACGCATTAAGCTAGAAGTGACAGAAAAAAACGTGAGTCGCTGATTATTATACATAGAACATAGAAAATTAGGTATCGTTCACGGGTATTCGTATATTAAAGCGAATTCTACTTACGAACGTATAATTGGTTGGAGTTTAGAATACGCTAAATAGATATCCAATCAATTATGCATATAAATATAATTTGACACAGATGATCTTGATAATGACAGTGACAGTACTTTCACAATGTCAACTGATAAAATGATAATTGCCATTCCAGGTTGGTATTTTCAGACATTTTAACTACAGTGAAAATTAAATTTTGTATTTATTGTCATAAAAATATTTTAAATATTCCGAGATATACCGAGAATGAAAAAAGACTAATATTAAAATTATTAAATTAGTTTCAATTAGAGAAAGAGGCTGAGACATCTTTATTTCAGTTTCTGTCGTTCGCGAATCAGATTGTGAATTCCGGAATGATATTGAGGAAATATCTTAAACTAATACCTTTATGGATATTTATATGTATTAAAACGGTTCTTTTTAGAACCACGACATTTTCTTGAAATATAGGATATAATTGATACCAGCCACATATCTAGTGTAATCATTGATTTTCAAGAATCAGATTCTGAATGGTATTATAAATTGTTTGAAATATAATATTCATTTTTGTTTTTCCTAAAAAAAAAGAAGGTAAACTTACATTCGGTATCTCGTTTTTTAACTAAACTCCATTAACACGATTTCATCTGGATATCGGAACTGGTAGATTAACTCAAAAATCAACTGCTTCACTAATTAGACTATTTATATTGTTTTTTTTTAAATAAACTTTATAACCTTCTTTCATTTGCACACCAAATCTGGTAGAATAACTCAAAAATCAACTGCTTCACTATTTAAACCATTTCCACTATTTAATGACAACTCTTCATAAAATTAAACTATTGGCTGCCACACAAACTTATCAGAAAATTACTTATCCAAATATGACTGATTTATGCAATTTGATGCCTTGCAATTGTCAGTAAATTTTTTTACCTTGCAGTCAACTCTTAAAAGATTCTAGGAGGAAGCGTTATTTTAAATAAACAAACCTTCCAATTCCCTAGTGTTTGTAATAAATAATAATAAATCCATAAACAAATCATAGCTAATTAAGCACTTTCCATGGAATGTATAAATAGAACAGAATAGAATAGAATTATGACAAACTGCTATGCATTAAAAAAAAAATAACCTTTTCACGTTTAGCCGATTACGATCCTGCAACTGTCAGATTTAACTAAAATGTCATGCAATAATTCTCGACATTCTTAAAATCCTATATGACGTCAAAATTAGTGACGCACTGAAAAAAGGGTTTGGGACAGACTGTACTTCAATGATTCTTTGGGAATATTGATATTGGATATACAGCATCGCAAAAAAAACCGACTAAAAATTAGTACTTGTAGATATTTGCCTACTACTACAAAAGTGTTTGGAAGTCACTGAACTCTACAATTAGTGTAAAGAATTAGCCGAAGTCAGAGATATAGTCACTGCAATAAAAATTAGATGACTGCGATGGACAGGTAATCTAGCTATAGAAAATGAAAGCTATCCTGCACGCCGACTTTTTATTGGCAAAGCTCAAATCTTAGGGCAACTATGCGATAAGGTTGTCCAAGATTAAGATGGTAAGATGGAGGGATGGTTTAGATGAGGTTGCAAGGAAATTCGGTGTTGTCACCTTGCATCGAGCTACACAGAAACGAACCGACGAAGTCAGCTTAGGAAGCTGGAGGTTTAACTAGAGCCGTAGCACCAATGATGATGATAATGACATCGAAATCGTATTGGGACCGTGCAAGTTCGGAACAGCGACACCTGGTGTCGTAAATCAGCCAAATTTACTGCGCTTTCATGTTAGATCGATGTTACCGGATAACTGTCAAGGACGTGACCCCAAAAAAGAATAAGAAGAAAAAGTAAGATTGAGGTTATGTTGAAAAGGTAAACGTTAATGTAGCGTAAATACAAATAAATATATTATTGAATTACAGGATTACTGTTAATATAGATGCAATAATAAAAACTGGATTTGAGAAAGTAAATCACCAAACAACTTTTCAACCAAGCACGAGTCAAAGGGAAAAGCTTTAGTAGTGGCAAATGTCAAAAAAGAATTATGTGGAGTGGAAGAATTAAGAAAAATAAATTACCATAAATTACCAGGTTAAGCCCATGATATCATCATATTGGTTTGAACAATTAATTCTTTCCCTGTAAACTTTTGGACAGCGAATATATCTTAATGCATCTTCAAAAAAACTTGAACTTTATGCATTTTTGTAAACTTCAAAAAAATAAAATTCAAACATTAAACTTGATTTTTGGGTTAAAAGGAACTCTAAGTGAGTGTTATGAAACTAAAATTTACACTTAAAAGTGAACTTTTATTTATTATTTATTTCAAACTGACTTTAAAATCGGGCGCAAGAATAATGCATAATTTAGGTTATGTTACTTATGCTTTTTTATGATATAAATCCACTTTTCTCATTGTACTAGCTTTGTACTTCGAAGTTGGAAACGAATAAGACTTAAATTGACAATTTTTTGTTATATTTTTACAATAAATAACACAGCATTTCCTAAATCCCATTTTCTTCAGTGACAGAAGGTGTAAATAAACAAAACGAATATGAAATATGACAATTGACAATATGAATTTATGAAATCTATAATCTATGAAATATACAGTAAAAAATGCAAGATTTCTCCACTACTCGCGCACGATCGTTTCTCGTATCCCCTCCAAGTACTTGCACGTCGCCAATAACAAGTATTCTCCAAATCTAGGAAATACATGAATTTTTTCTAACTTATCGTCTGTTACATATTATAGTTAATCTAAAAATGAAACTTACGTCTGTGTTCCAGTATACTCAGTTTGGAAAAAGAAATTAGTTACATTAAGTTCGAAGTCACTAGTCGCATTAAACTGTGGAAAGGTTAAACTAAAATTAAACACCGCAAATGTATCACTATCTTGACTTATCTGCTTTATTTCTTTGACTTGCCAATCTGGAATTCCAGAAATTTGGGTATTGTGGTATAAAAAGTAAAGCCTAAAAATAAACAAATTATTATTTTGTAGGAGAAAATAACACAAATCAGATGTTTTTATTATTACCACTAGAATTATTAGGATTTACATTTATAAAGAAAGGTTTTAATTATTGTTTTGGTTAAATAAAAATATAAAAAAATAATACCGAAGATTTAGAGTTTGTTGATGATATTATATGCTTATCACCTCAAAGTTAATCCATTCGATGGAGTATAAAAGAAATAAAGAGAAGGGCAAAGGCAAATATAAGCACATTAGGGGACGCACCAGATGTTATTCTTTATGGAAAAACGTAAAAAAAAAGAAAAGCATTAGGTCGGTTCAGATAACCGCTAAAAGAATCAGATTAACATTTTTAACATTTTCCGATAAGAAATAACATGGGGCGCATTCACAATTGCCTAAAAATAGCATAGTCTCTTTGCCGCGGATAAATAAAAAATGAATACATAGAATAAACGAAAGTACTAAGGATTCATATGAAGATGAAGAAGATGCCGTTTTTCTAACTTACATTTGCTCTTAATCTATTTATGTAAAATTACTCCTAATAATAAAGTATTATCTTCTTCTTCTTTGGGTGCCGTCTTCTTAGGGAAGGTTGGCGATGACCTCTGCAAAGTCTTCCCTATTTTGGGCTTTCCTTATTAAACTTTGAAATTCTAATCCTGTCCAATATTTGATGTTGCGCAGCCAGGTCATTTGTCGTCTACCCGGGCCGCGTCTACCTTCTATTTTCCCTTCTATAATAAGCTGAAGGAAGTTATATCTGTCGTGACTAAATATGTGTCTAATATAAGACGTTTTACGCTTCTTGACAATGTCTGTGAGTTCACGTTCTCTATTCATACGACTTCAAAACTTCTTCATTTCTAACGCGGTCGGTCCATGGAATTTTCAGCATACGACGAAATATCCACATCTCAAAGCTCTCTAAACGTCGTAACGAGCTGACTGTTAACGTTCAAGCTTCCACGCCGTGTAATATTACACAATATACATAGCACTTTATCATGCGGTATCGTAGGAGAATCTGTATCAAAACCAGAAAGCAAGAGTAAGAGTCGAAGGAGAACTGACAGAGGAAGTAAGTATACTTAGAGGAGTTCGACAAGGGTGTATCCTTTCACCACTCTTATTCAACGTCTACAGTGAAGTGATTTTTCAAGAGGCTTTATTGGATATCGTGGAAGGTATTTATGTCAACGGAAATAGCATTAATAATATTAGATATGCCGACGATACTGTCATATTTGCAAGTGACATGGAAGATCTACAGTACATAATACAACATGTATACAATGCATGTGAAAGTTACGGACTGCAAATAAATCTCAAGAAAACGAAATCAATGATATTCTCAAAAAAAACCACAAAATGTAAATAACCTGATCATCAATAATACAACGATAGAAAGAGTAAAAACATATAAATATTTAGGAACGTGGCTAACCGAAGATGGAGATCAAGTAAAGGAGATCAGATCTAGAATAGAAATGGCAAGAAACACGTTCATAAAATTGAAGAAATTACTTTGCAACCGTAACCTTAATCTAGAGATTCGCACAAGAATGCTACGTTGTTACGTCTTCTCTACTTTACTTTATGGCATGGAAGCGTGGACAATAAAGCAGTCTGAAATCAAAAAATTAAACTCCTTTGAGATGTGGTGCTACAGGAGAATGCATAAAATATCGTGGATTGAAAAAGTAAATAATGTAGAGGTGTTACAAAGAATGAAGAAAGAATGTGAAGTCATAAAAACTGTTAAAATTAGAAAGATTCAATATCTGGGACATTTAATGAGGGGTGAGAAGTACGTATTACTGAGGTTGATTATGCAAGGGAAGATACAAGGGAAGAGAAACCCAGGACGACGCAAAATGTCCTGGCTAAGAAATTTGAGAGAGTGGTTCGGCTGCAGCTCATTAGAATTATTCAGAAATGCGGCCAACAAAGTTAAATAGCGATGATGATTTCCAACCTCCGCTAGGAGAAGGAACCCGAAGAAGAATCGTAGGGACAAATTAAGATTACGGGTAGTGAGTAAATGTCGCATCTTTAAGAAGGTGTTTCTTGCCTGTTCTATTCTACATTTAACCTATTGTTCTTGGTCTAAGGTTTCATGTATCCAACAGCCTAGATCCTTAAACTTTTTCACTTGTTCAACTAGATTGTCTTTGACTAGTATGTTTATAACTGGTGTGTGTTTTTTTGAAATTACCATTGTTTTGGTTTTTTTTACATTCACCTTAAGACCGTATAGTTCTCCTTCTCGCACTACTTGGGTTAACAGAATTTGTAGTTTTTCTTTACTGCCAGTAATCAGTACTGTATCATCGGCATACCTGATATTGTTCACGATTTTTCCATTGACTTTTATTCCTTCTTGTTCTCATTTAGAGCATGTGCAGAGATGTCCTCTGAGTACAAGTTGAATAATAATGGTGATAGTATACAACTCTGTCTAACTCCTTTTTGGATGTTTATGGTTTCAGTATCACCCATTTTAGTTCTGACAGAGGCGTTTTGGTTCCAGTAGAGTTCACGTATTGTACTAATGTCGTTTGGATCCAGGTTCTTTTTTTTTGCAAGCATTCTATTAGCTGATCGTGTTTGACTTTGTCAAAAGCCTTTTCATAATCTATAAAGCACAAGTAGACATCTTTTTGTTGATCCCGACACTTTTGCATGAGAACAATGAAACTGAACAATGCTTCTCGAGTTCCCATACCGGGAAGCCAAATTGTTCTGGGCCCATATCTTCTTCGCATTTTTTTTTAATTCTGTTATGGATAATTTTTAGAAATAGCTTCAGAATATGGAGCAAAAGACTTATTAATCGAAAGTCGTTACATTTTTTTGCGTAGTTTGATTTAGGTATAGACACAAACATAGACGTTAACCAATCTTGTAGAATTGTACCAGTCTTGTATATACTGTTGAAGAGTCTTGATAATAGTTCTAAATTGTCTTCTTCCAAAAGTTCTATAATTTCACTGTGAACGTAGTCAGGTCCAGAGGCTTTTCCGGTTTTCATATTTTTTAAGGCGTATTTTATTTCTGATGTTAGGATGGGCAAGTCGTTATTTTCGATGTTTGTCTATCAATATTTATTGTTCTATCGTCTGAGAATAGGTTTTGTATGTTTGTTCGCCATTCAGCGCTTATTTCTTCTATTGTGGTCAGGACTCTATCATCCATACTTGTTATTGTGCCACATTGCCTAGCTTTTCTGATCCCACACATTTCTTTAATTTTCTTATGGAGAAGTCTATCATCATGTTTATTCTGTAGGTCTTCTATCTCTTCGCAAGTTTCTACAAGCCACTGAAACCAAAACAGTTTCGTAAATTATAATAAACAATTTCCAAAAAATCCATATTTTCATAGTTGTTTTAGATAAAGTATATCCTGAAACTTTTGATATGAGAAAATTAGAAAACTAGTTGATTGTAATTTATTCAGATAAACAAAAACCTTATCAACTTTTTTCATATATTTTTGACAACGAGTTAACAGAAGTATTTTCTGAATGCTATAAGTTACGAAAATTATTTTTGACCATTCCTGTAACCACGGCCTCATCTGAAAGATCTATGAGCACTTTAAAAAGAATTAAAACATATTTGCGGAATTCAATGACTACTGAAAGACTTTCCTCATTATTCACTTTAAACATTGAAAAGCATATGGTGCACTTAATTACTCCAGAAATGAATGAACAAGTTATTTACTATTTTGCTAATAATAAAAATAGAAAAATTGACTTAATATATAAAAAAATTTAATATTTATTGTTTAGCATAGCGAATAAACATTAAAGTTAAGTTTATTTTTTGTTTTAAAAAATGTGTCCATGTTTTTGTTGTGTTTACTTGTTTATAAAAATAAAATATTTAAAAAATATTCTGTTTTATTTTCCTCACTCCTGAAGTAAGGATTAATCCTTTAAAATTGTCTACCCAAAATTTTTCATCAAGCTTCGCCACTGGTTGGAAGTTTACGAATTGATATAATTTTTTCGTGCATGTTTTTGAGTATTTCTTTTGGTTGCCTGTTACTTTTTAGTTATTGAACTTGGACACATTATTTAATTTTAAGACGGTAAATTCGCCGTGTCGGCCAGTGTTAAAAAAAGGTTATCCTTTGCATATAAGTAGTAATCCTTTTAATTCTAGTATTATTATATTATTATACAAAGATAATTAATTACTCGCTCGTCAGATCATTAAAATATCGTATATCTTTATCGTAATGTAGGGGATTGTAACTTGGTAAATCCAATTCAGGGACTCCAATCTTCAGTGCCTTTTGAGCACAATCCAGGATTTTACGAGCATCGTCCAAGTCGCTTGCTAAAAATAAACAAAAACTTTTAACAAATAGATATGAGGTTGATTTCAAAATATATTTTGCGTAAAAAGAGATAAATACATTGTTGATTTTTTAAAAAAATCAAAATTCATCAAAATCAATTTCAAAATTTAAACAACGTATGGTAAAATTAAAATAAAATTAGGCAATAGATGTACAAAAATATTGATGTCTTATACATTATTGTTAATATATTTTACTAAAATCATACTTTTGTTGGGCTGTACACTATGTTCTACTAATATATGGTTGACTAGTTTTCTATAATAAAGTACGCAGTGGTAAAGGAACGATAGCAATTAATTTAAATAATCGAGAGAAATAACACAAAATAATGACAAACACAGGCAGACGAGACACCTCAGAATATTGGAAAAAATCAGAACAAAAGTAATTGACGCAGCAATAAAGATCATGGGCGCAAAAAAGAAAAAAAAAACAAAAAGAGAATGGTTTAATATCAAGTGTAAAGTCCATACAGAAAAAAAATCAACTAGGGGAGAAGTAGATACAGTGAGACGGTCGGAACACTGAGACAAACGCGGTAGAGCTTACCACGTTCGGTATTATAAGGTAGAACTAAACGAACATGCCTATTACCACCTTAAAGTGAAGCAAATAAGAAACCGTTGAGATTCAGCAAGAAATGTTTTAGTTATCGCTGGTCATTTGAAGTGAGTGCATCGTAGTAAATATACCGTATCCACGTGGCCGCTGTTTTCACGAAAATTGAAGTTTATTAGACAAGGTAGGTTATTCTAACTACAAAGTAAACCATTTTACGAAACAATTGAGGACCTTTCTGCAAGAAGGGGGCAGCTCCATTTATAGTAACTTTTGGGAAAATAAAAAAAACGTTTTATAAAAATTTACTCATGTATTAATTACAATAAAGCAGTTTAGTTAAAAGATAATCATATTGGTACACCTGTCAAATTTTTCCTTTATTTATATAAGCTTCCTTTTTCAGAAAAAATGCAAAAAAATTTGGAGCTGCCCCTCTCTTACACCAAAATGACAAAAAAATGGTATCCATTGTAGTTATTATTGGAAAATAAAGAAAAAGTTACTGCAAAATCTGTTTATTATTATTAAAAATTAACAAAAAAACGTTTTTTCTTTTATATTCAAACAGAAAATCAGTCTATTCGTCTGCTTGGTCGTCGTCATCCGTGCCTGAAATCTGAGAAGCATGGTTATCATTACCAATGTCATCACATTTAAGGGATTGGTAAAACTCCATTTCGTTGGCTGGAATGTAGTTGGTAGCTAACTGCATCACGTCTTTGTACTTGGCCTTTTTTACGGGTATTGATGACTCGTACACCATCAAGTTAGTTTCAACTGAAAGATTATCTTTATTGTCCCTTAAAATGTAGTACGATTCAAAAATAGGAATACCAGTTGTAACAGACACATTAACTGTATCCATGTGGTCATTGCTGTATTCAAAAATCCGGTATTGAGAAATCTTAAACCTCTGTTTTTGAGAATTCATTATAACCTTTTTAAAATGGTTCTCAAAATGACTGCTAAAGTTGAAGATCATATCTTGATGAACCATAATGGGTATGAAATGTTTGGATGTCTGTTGAATAAACTGACAGTATTGTGTAGGAGAGAAAATATAATCTTTTTTTCGTAAAAACTTTTCTATAACACCAAAACAACGGTCACACGGTAGGAAACTGTGCCCTGGTTCAGGAAAACGATGTTGAATATTCTCCAAAGACGTGGTTCTTACAAGAAGATGCAGAAACTGTAGTATCGTTGAATTTTTATTTTGAGCTGCAGCATTATCGGAAAAGAGGTACAGGTGTCTGACATTTTTTGGAAGGATATTTTTTATGTAGTGATAAAGAAAAGAAACAACTTCATTCGGTGATTTTCTAGCGGTTGTTTCATTGTAAATGTAAAAATGAGCTTTGCCGGTTTTGCCCGAATGTATGCAAAAATTGTAGACCCATAGTTGACGTTTGTAGAAGGCTTCGCCCGCCGGAATTTTCGGCAGAGGAAGATTCTGCTGAAAATCAAACGTTTAAAATTTCTATGTCGTCATTTTGTTGGCTCAGTTTTGTCTTTTCTTTTAAGTCTGTAAAAAAAACGACTTGCTTTAACCTCATGTACTTTCTTTTCAAGTCGTAAATTTTCCTTTTCAGTATCATCAAGAGCTGGATCTTGAAGGCTATTGTGTAATATGTCACATCTTTTGCAGGTGTCTGAACGAGGCGCCCCAAAACTATAATTAAAATTTGCTTTAAAATACCTAAAATAAAAATCGTAGGTTACTTTAGGTTTATAGTTTTTATCAACAACACTTTCCGGTTCATTCACTTGCAAATAAAGTTCATGCATCTTTTTAACATTGAGATCAGGAGACAAATAAAAACGGGACGTTTTCACTCGGCTGTAGTGTGACTCACGTCGTGGAAAACTTTTTATGTGATTATCTACCTTCTGCAGTAAATCTTTTGAAATGCGGTTTTTTCTATTTTTATGTTTACCTTGTTTGCTGTTCGGGGGTGTAATGTTGTTACTGCGCAAAGTTTTAGCAATATTATCCACTCGTTTTTTGGATATCCCGTGTATTGCTACGAATGCACTCCTACAAACTCGTATTTTTTCCAGCTTAATATAGTACTTGTGAGCACAACTACGCCTCACTCGCTCACCAGTTTTTGCTCGAGTTCTGGCAACATTGCTTGTTGTTATTAAACCACCCAAGTAGATAGTTTGAATCTGTTTGTCTCCTATTTCATTAAAGTTTTCTAAAACTACTTGCCTCTGTTCTTCGTTCACCTTTTCAAAACATTTAAACTTACATTCACAATTAGGTCCAGTTTGCCTAGGTCCCACACTACTACCTTTCCAGTTAACATAACTTTTTCCTTCTGCAATACACTTTTTCTTAATGTTCCGTTTCCACTTAGCTGGATCAACACTTTTTCTATTCTTCGCAAACGAAACACTCTGAACCTCGTTTTGAACTGTATTGACTGGAAGCTTGTGTTTTTTTACACGCCTTCTTTTCACTGAAGGCCCTGCTTCATCAGGATCAGAGCTTTTTTCCGATTCGGATGGATTATACAGATCAGACGAACCTCCACTAAACAGACTAACATTATCAAAATCAGATTCTGTACCACTCATGATACAAATAAATAATAAAAAACACTTAAAAACAAATAAACAGTTGTATAGAAACACACGTGGTCAACTTTCGTAAAATGCACTGGGAGAATACGTTAGACCGTTAGAGCAATGGACTTCAATCGACTGAATCATAGACTGAATACTAAAAACTTCCGTTAAATTCATTCGAGGCCAAGTTAACGGTTACAGCCGAAGCGTCTCGATGTTTGGCGAAAGAAGGGGGCAGCTCCGGAGCTGCATCCGTCTTGCAGCAAACAATTTCGGAGGCAGGTACATAAACAGTTATAGGTTTACCATTTATAAATGGATCTGATTCTTTCTTGCACCAATCGAGTCAGTCACCTAATTATTTTACATAATATTCATATATACACTAAAATTTGACCAAAAATGGAGCTGCCCCCTTCTTACAGCAAGGTCCTCAATTAAATTAAAACAAACGATTTTTGTACATATTTTATTAGTTTTTTTCATATATTTTTATTAACGATTTTTTAAGGAACAGTGAGACGCGTCTCACTGTTCCTTTACTGTCTCACTGTTCCGTTATAGTTGTATAAGCCAGGTCATTTGCAAAATAATTTCTCTTACAGAACGAAGATGCCAAGAAAAAATAAAACAGATCGGAAAATAGGAAGATTCTCTGAAGATCTGATGAGACAGGCTGTTGAATTAGTACAAGGTGGCACTTCTATACGGCAAGCAGCACGAATAAAGGAGTATCTTTCCAAACAGTCCACAGATATGTTAAAAAATATCAACAAGATGAGAACGTCCGTTTATGTCATAATTACAAAGTAAAACAAATTTTTACTATCGAACAGGAAAACGACTTGTGCGAATATATAATTAAATGTTCTAAAATGTTTTATGGCCTATCAAAAGAAGATACCCGAAAACTGTCATATGAAGCCGCAGTCTACAATAACATAGTGGTTCCAGCAAATTGGCATACTTCAAAAATCGCTTCACTTGCCTGGATGAAAGGATTTCAGAAACGTCATTCCAATAATTTATCCCTCCGGACCCCAGAAGGTTGTAGTCTTGCAAGGGCAACCGGTTTCAATAAATTTAATGTTGAAATGTTTTTCAGTAAATTTGAAACCGTTTTACAGCGTTTCCCTGTGTTTGGAGATGGTAGTCGCATCTTTAATTAAGATGAGACAGGAACCGTTACCGTTCAAAAGTCCCAAAAAGTGTTTGCAGAAAGAGGTATACGACAGGTTATTAAGGCCACAAGTGGCGAACGTGGAACACTCGTTACAACATGCTGTATTGTTGGAGCATCTGGAGTAGCTATTCCTCCTGCTCTGGTATTCCCAAGAGTACACTTTAAAGATTTTATGATAAATGGGTCGCCTCCTGGAACTTTAGGACTAGCTTCAAAAACAGGTTGGATGAATACAGAGTGCTTTGTGCAAGTTGTTAGGCATTTTATTAAGCACACTGGTAGTACTAGAGAAAACTCTTCTTTATTGCTAATGGATAATCATCAAAGTCATTTATCGATTGAGGCAATCGATTTATGTAAAAATAATGGCGTTACAATCCTGACTATACCGCCACACTGCACGAACAGATTACAGCCGTTGGACGTAGGTTTATTTAAGCCATTTCAGACTTTCTACAATGCTGCAGTAGATGCATGGATGATGAACCATCCCGGTCAGACATTTACAATTTACAACGTAGCAGTCTGTGTAGGCACAGCATATCCACGAGCAATGACGCCAGTTAACATCGCAAGCGCTTTTCGAAAATCTGGAATATTTCCATTCGATCGGCATGTCTTCGCTGAAGAAAATTTTTTGTCAAGTTTTGTGACAGATAGGCCGCTTGTTGCAGTTGAAGCTGCTGCTGAAAAGATAAGTGAATCTCCAGACTACTAAAACCTTTGTTAGTCCAACAGTTTTTAAGGGTTATCCTAAAGCTCCGACAAGAAAATCTGTAGAGGGCAACAAAAGACGCAAAGGAAGGACGATGATAGCTACGGATACCCCGGAAAAAATGAAGCTGATTAAATCTAAAGAAAAAACACCAAAACAGAAAAAAGTAGCACGGCGCGTATTAGATAGTGATTCTGACGAGCAAGACGAAAATGAGATGGAACTACAAGATTTCAGCGGAGGGGAGGATTTTATTGGTGAAGATCCAGAACCAATTATTTTCGAAGATCTTGATCGCTGTCCAAATGATGGGAATTATGTGCTCGTTGAATTCAACTTTAAGCAAAAGACATATTATGTAGGCAAAGTCTTGTCTCAAATAAAAGAAAATGATTTTAAAATATCGTTTTTGCGAAAAAAGCGCTAAATGTGAAAATAGGTTCTTTTTTCCAGTTGTCCCAGATGTCTCACATGTATTAAAAAGAGACATTAAAATGATTTTGCCGCCCCCTTTAATGCAAGGGTTAACCAAGCGCCAAAGTTCGCTTTTAAAATTTGAATTAAACTTTGATAGTCTTAACGTCAAATAATGTTAATTGTTACGTCTCAGTGTTCCCACATTGAAAGGAACAGTGAGACATTAACTAATTTTTAATTTTTATATTTTTGAGGTTTTAACATTAATTTTTATGAGAAAACGACATGATTTTTCAGTTCTTATTTATATATGAAAAATGAAATGAGGTTGAATGCTCGAATAAATGAACTTTGAAAATAAGGCTATTATCGAGCACAAGTTAATTAAATCTAGCCCAAGTACTTTCGCTTAAAATAGCATCTTCAGGGGCATTTCGTCAAAATAAGAACTATCCGGCAAGCGTAGAATGTGGAAACATTAAAAATAACATAAATTATACAAAAACACTACACTAAAACGAGGACAAACAGTTTAAAATTACTTCTACGCTACATTCTCTGTCAGTATCTGGATGGATAGTAATTGATTATCTATCCACTACACGAAAATATGAGTGAGAGTAATTAATAGATGAATACCTGGTAAAATCAATAAGATCAAGTGAAAACAATATGTGGAAATAAGTTGGGGAACAAATGGCAAAAGCAAGTATATGTCATAACGACATCCGACTAAGAATCCTAAGAAAAATAACAGTAATATGGAACAGGAAGATGGACAGAATAAGAAGTAACATCATAAACAGTGTAGCTCCGTGGCTAGGTACGGGAAAACTGGACGAAGAAGTGGCTGATAATACGAATGAGAGAGAGAGAGAGATAAGCAAAAACGGCGACAGACATAAGATTGAGAAAGAGACAGGTCAAGTGGAATGAGGTGCAGACAGACGATAACTAAGACTACACGAGACAGCTTATTGCAGCTCTGCCTTCCGTTTGGGACAGGGCTGCGATGAGACTGAAACAACAATGGTCGGGAGGTATGTATGTATGTATGCGTAGAAAAGAAAGCAAAAATGACACCCTGATTAGGCAGAGGTAAAGTGGTGGTCGCAAGAGTGCGGAAATGGAAGCTGATGTGTATTGACGAATCGAGCAAAAGAACAATAGAGAGGTCTGGCGTTTAGCTAATGGCGGCTACATTATAGTTACGTAGGAAGGTCCTACCTAATGCCAAGTTGATCGACGTGATTTTAAAGGGCGTTTCTTTTAGTTTAGGAACCAAGTACTGCCAGAAATGTTTAACTCCGGCATCTGTTTGCAGATTTTCAATCAAGTGATAAAAAATTGTAGAGGTGTAGCAAGCTGGTCAGGGTTCGATCTCGTCAGATACCAACAATTTTTCAGTCGGAAGCTGAGCATCCAGAATGTGCTTCTGAGGGCACGAAACGCCGTTGGTCTCGACTACGTACGTGGTCGTTAACACTAAAAACCTAAACTAGAAGGGTACAACTCAAATACGACCTTCATATTATTATGACATGTTAATCTATAGTTGGGTTTTATATAAAGTAAAAAAAAGAGGTTAATCTTTGTAAATGGGTATATTTATTTAAAAAACCCTTAAAAGGGCCACATCAATAAAACAAAGGTTTTCGGACCACACAGTCCATCATCAGGTTTTTAAAATCGAAAAATGCTAGGTCACAATGCCTGAGCCACCAAAATACTAGGGTAAAAACCCTTTAAATTACATTTAGTTATGAAATATTGTACATTTTGTTGTAAAATAACTGTGATGTTCAGTATTAAATTAGACTATAGGTAACACATGGCTCAATCTGGTTCCAGAGCCGGTGAGAGGGAACCTCTGCACTCGGAGAACAGCGTGGAACTGTAGCTCTGGAACCAGATTGAGCCATGTGTTACCTATAGTCTAATTTAATACTAAACATCACAGTTATTTTACAACAAAATGTACAATATTTCATAACTAAATGTAATTTAAAGGGTTTTTACCCTATTATTTTGGTGGCTCAGGCATTGTGACCTAGCATTTTTCGATTTTAAAAACCTGATGATGGACTGTGTGGTCCGAAAACGTTTGTTTTATTGATGTGGCCCTTTTAAGGGTTTTTTAAATAAATATACCCATTTACAAAGATTAACCTCTTTTTGTTATACGTGGTATACAGCCAGCTACAGGAATTTTTCCTTGTGGATTTTATATAAAGTAAGAAACAAATACATTCAAAATATCTTAAAACAGTATGTTAATTATTCTTACCCTTCACAAAGACGACGAAAGCCACCACAGCAGAGAATTTCAAAAGTTTCATAGTGTAAGCACTGATTTACGTTTGAACATAGTGTTTGTGTTTGTGTTATATAGTTATAAAGTGCAGGTGCACATACTACCACTTCAGATAAATCTTATCAATAATTCTGTTTAATTTTACAACAAAACTCTTCCAAATATCTAATCGTTATCATCTATAATTATTTAATAAGTAGTATTGCTACAAAATATGTGTATGTGAAGATAGATACACCTTCTTGTAAACTTATTTCTATTCATAATATATAATCTTCAAAAATATTGTATCTCTAAGTATTCCGATAATTCATATTTTCAAGCTGCTAATCTAAATAGATCAACAGAATAACACATAACAAATTTTTTTTTTAAATATGTTCAAAAATGTTATGTGGAACCTAACGAAATCGAATTTAAATATAGGCCGCCGTGCTCCCTAAGACTTGCGAAGCAAACAGTTTGATGAATGCATCGGCAAGGGAGTCTAAAACTTGCACTCCAAATGCCGTTCATCATGGCCTATATTCGTAGTGAATTCGATTTCTGGTACTCCAAATGAAGTAAATAAAGAAAACAAATGACGGTATTATATTTTGATTTGATACAGAGCAGCAACAAGCCGCATATACGTATTTCGATCTCTTTAGATCTCCTCAGTACGGTATAGTTACTACTCCATATCTCCTGATACCGTACCTATACCGTACTCAGGAGATCTAAAGAGATCGAAATACGTATATGCGGCTTGTTGCTGCTCTGTATCAAATCAAAATATAATACCGTCATTTGTTTTCTTTATTTACTTCATTTGGAGTACCAGAAATCGAATTCACTACGAATATAGGCCATGATGAACGGCATTTGGAGTGCAAGTTTTAGACTCCCTTGCCGATGCATTCATCAAACTGTTTGCTTCGCAAGTCTTAGGGAGCACGGCGGCCTATATTTGAATTCGATTTCGCCAGGTAGAAATCGTATGATTTCTCTTTTCATTCTGTTTTCCTTTATCCCTATGCCAGATCGACTGTCCTTATTACAATCCTCCATAGGTTTTCATTTTGCATTGCAATTCTTCGTATTGGGTGATTAACAGCTCGACGTTGAACGTGCTCGAGCCATCTTAACCTATGCTCTCTCAATGTGGCATCACTTGCTGTCATCGTGGCTCTTCCAAGGCCTTTATCGATTTTCCAAAATTGTTGTCGTTATTATAGCACTTGACACTGATTCATCACCTTGAAGTGGGTGACATTTTTCTTATACTCCTGATGTTCTTCCAACGCTTGTGATGGGTGTTCAAGACGTCCAGCAATATTCCAATACTATTAATGCATTTTAGAAGTTTTTCCATTTCCAACAATGTTTAAATGCATCCAGCGAAATTTCAACAATTCGTACGCTTTCTCAATATTTTTTTATATTTTTTCCAAAGCGTTTTACGAATTTCTAGACTATTTGTCTTGTTTTTATAACGATTTTGACATTAGTGTGCCGGCTTTAAATTCTTGTCAATTTTTCCAATTTTCTATTCGCTTTTCCCATGCTTTTGATACATATTCGAGGCTCTTTGCAATTGTCCAATGCTTTTGGTTCATTTTCGAAGTGCCGCTTTTGTAGCGCTTTTGACACTGATTCGTAAACTTTCTGACACTTGTCTTTTTCATTTTTGTCGCTTTTCTAACGCATTCGGCGCACTTTTGAAAATTCGAACCCTGTCCCGACGTGTTTTCATCGCGTTTTCAGGGTCTTTGTCGAGGTTTTAAAGTTTTTGTCGTTTTTATAGCGCTTTTAAATTTATTCATCGCCCTTAAGTTTTTGTCATTTTTTTATGCTTCTGTGTTTTTCCGATGCTTTTGATATGTGTTTAAGGCTTTTCCGATACTTTTTGAGCATTTTAGAAGCTTCTGACACTTTGTCTTTATCACCACGTTTGTCGTTTTTCTAACGCATTCGGCACACTTTCGACAATTCGAACTCTCTCGACACGTTTTCATCGCCAAGATCTGTATCGATTTTCCTAAGCTCTTCGCGTTTTTGTAGAGTCTTTGACAATCAGTCAGTCCCTTTTAGGTTTTCTTAGTTTTTAGCTTTTCGAATACCTTTGATGCGTAATCTGAACTTTTCTTCATTTTCCAATACGTTGGGTGCATTTTAGAAGCTTTTAACAATTTCTTTTTTCAACTCTTTTGTTATTTTTCTAGAACTTTTTCACTATATCGTCGCATTTATATTGTTTTTGGTTGTTTCTCTTAATACTTGAAACGCTATAGACACATGATGAAGGCTTTTGACCAATTTTCGGAGCTTTTGATGCTTCCCTTGCCTTTTCCTAAGCTTTTATCGCTTCTTATTAACACATTTGCTGCATTTTCGATACTTCGAATGCTTTGTCGAGATGTGGTAATGTCACGTCAATACATAGTCCTTTCAACGCTGCCTCGTTACGTTTAAGTTGTGTATTTGTGTGTATAATGTGTATTTTTTATAAGTGGCTTCTATATATTTAGAATAAAAGAGAATTTTATATTTTTCATACATTTGTCGCTCCAATATATTGCTGTCAACTTTTTAACTTGGTACGTATGCTGACAAAGTACAAAGGCTTCACCACCAGAAATTTTGTTATAGTATAATTATTTGCAGTGTTTCATATTTTTTAAACTCAGCGATTCCCTACTCTGAGAATGAACGTGACTCTAGCCCTTCTCTAAATATCTTGAATATGGATAACTGACTAAAAGAAGACGACTAAAAAGTGACAGGCAAGAAAGAGAAAGACAGACAACAAATAAAAAAGAATTGACACGGACGACTAAGAAATGCCAGATGATAGACAAGAAGAAGACGACGATAAGTAAAAACAATTTGACAAACACAATACCTTGGAATCGTAAAACGCGACAAAAATCATATCGTGTGAAACTTTTGATATGCTTCTATGTCGTTTAGTTTAGTTTTTCTGTCTGCCTGTTTTTCTAGTAAAAATTTATATACTTTTTAGATACAGTTATCGTCACTATTTCAAAACAAATCTTCAACTTATGACTATGTACTTACGTAAACTGTAAACTTTCTATTTTAATGATATCTATGTACCTACATAGTTAAAATTTCCAAAGAAAGCAGTAATTTTTTCATAACTGTACTTAAATGAATCCATTTCATAACTTACGTGGTAACTTGCCTGAAAATTGGTATTGTGTAATAATTTTTGAACTTAGGTACAAAAGACCTACGTTAAATGATTAACTATCCAAAACCTCTATTTTAAGCAAATGTTCGTTATCCATACCTACTGCCGTAATTTTTAAATTAACTGTACCTAAAAATAAAATTACAATTAAAAGCTGCAAACTAGGGATTTTGTTGATGTTACCGTAATAAGTTAGTATTTTGATAGTAAGAAATTAGTTCGGCTATCACTTAATAGATGGGAAAATAAGTTCACGTGTCATTTAGTAGAAGGCACAAGGCAGCAGTGATGTATTAAATGATGATTAAATGGCGACAGATGCGCGTTTGCCAAATTTAAGAAAAATCTGCAAAACATTGAAAACTAGTTTTGTGGTTATGACAATTTTATTATTGTCTATGGATTATGCAGTAACCGTGGTAATACGATTCACGTGGTTTTGTTTAGCAAAGCGGCCCCTTCCATTTAATATTTTGGCTTCGTTTGACGTGGTTTGACTTTCAATGTTCAATCATAATTGTATAACATCACAATGTCTTAAATATACAAGTATACTATTTTTATCCTTGGCCCCCTGATATACTGATTTTTGTATAATACATAATACAAACGTCATTTAAAATTTGAAAATGTTGGTTTTTTACAGTTCTTTTTCGTACCGTAAATGGACTCATAGAAGAATTCATTAAATATGAAAATAACTTAAAATCCTGTAATTACTCTAAATAGGTTTTTAGGCCTGCAAGTTTTTATAAAATTAGCCCAGTCATTACAAGTAAATATTTCCGAGGATGATAAATATTTTTTCGCTCTCTCTATGATGCTGTATTCGCCATCAGCCTCCTTGTGCGTTTGGCCACGAAGTAGAAATTTATGATTTATTATTTCAATCCCTGGAATGTGAAACACCAGCCAGAAGTACAACATTACCATCATCATGTTCCTACTCTGGCCTGTACAATTATCTGACCATATTGTTATTTCCTTGGCATCTGAGTTATTGGAGGTACTGACCTACATTAAATCTCGAAAGTTACAATTCTTCGGACATATTATGCGAAATGAATCCAGATATGCTCTCCTTCAAGTCATCCTGCAAGGAAAAATATTTGGAAAGCGAGGTCCAGGAAGAACATCTTGGTTGAAGAACCTCAGAAACTGGTTCAATACAACATCTGTGCAGCTTTTCCGCGCTCTTGCAGATACGATAAAGATTACCATGATCATCGCCAACATTCGTAGCGGATGTGCACATCAAGAATAAGAGTTATGCAAAAAATTACTAGCTCATTTCAACAAGCATGAGACCATTTCATTACCTCCACGTCCTCCTCTTACCTCATCCCACAAAATATACCAGGTAGCGTGGCTGGGCTCATGGATTGTGTAATTTAGTGTCACATGTATCATTACTGGGTGGATGGAAGGAGTAATTAAATTATTCGTTGAATAGTTGCCTAAACTGCCAATATTTTGCTGGAATCTGCCGTAAATTGACATTCTTCTATGTATAGGATAGGAAGTACATTTTGGAATGTTTAAGTGGCCACCTAAATATAATTTTTTTGTTCGTTCTCGGCCATAATGTGACTGATAGTTGGATACTTTTTAATGTGTTTTCTTATAATCTCTACAGTAGCCTCCGATGTTTTATTGGATGGGGTATGTCGTCCTCATAAGTCTGGTGTTATAATACCAGAATTTTTAAAGCTGTTTTAACGAAAGTATTCGAAACTTAAAGAGTACTTAAGAAAAAAGTTTTGCATACTTTTATATCCTGATTTATTAGATGTTACTGTATAAGTAAAAGTATTTTGTTTTTCTCTAAAAGGCACTAAAAATATGTTGACTCTGAGTTTCATCCAAATAAAGTCTTTTTTAATGCAATTTTTTTATATGCGCTTTTCTGAAGAACTTACATTCTTATCTGCATCAACGTGGTTTTTAACTTACCTGTTGTGTTATTATGCAGTGCACGTGGTGTTCGTGTGTATTAAGGTATAAAAACGCTTATTAAAAGCTTAAAATTTTTTTTATTATAAAGAAGATCTTTTCGGAATATGTATCATTCCATCATCAGTTTACTAAAAGAGAGAGTAAAAATACCAATATTAAAAACAACAAAGTTAAAATTTGAACATACAAAAAGAGAAAGTTGGTTTTTTACTACTTACATAAAAAAGGTTGTTAAAAAACATTGTGTGGCCACATAAAAAACATTCGGTTGACATCTGGATTTAAAAAATAATATTCTTCGTGTTATTTATTCAGGTAAATGCAATAGACTCTTGACTTTTGTAATGTAATAAATGAAACTGGGGGCATCTTATATGACCCCTGTAGTTGGTGAAGTTTTATTGACTTACATTACCTCTGATCTGTGTTGGAGTCTAGGGCTAACTGATAGAAAGATGGTATGAAAAATCAGTTAGTACCCGTCAATGTCAAGAGGAATGATGTGGTAGGAGCAAAGTCATTGTGCTTAAGTTTGTGAGTAGGCAGTTTTTAGTGAAGAAATGTGTTTTGTGTGTAGTAGGAACATAAGCAATTTTTGGTATTTTAAAAAACTGATGGGAGAATATAAATCAATGTGTGACTGTGATGCAAAATAAATCGGTATACCAAGGTAGGTAAAAATTTTATGTAATTTAAGTGGTTAAAATTAATAAATCATTTTAAGTGGGATGAAAAGGATGTTATTACCTAATTGTATCGTTGTATTAAATAAGTATATATAAAAGATGGATTGTAATTTATGGAAGATGAGTCGAGGAAAAGAAAAAGAAGTAAACGAGAAGGTAAGAAAGGGAATAGAAAGTGAATGTGACGATGTAAGATGGAGAAATTGAAACTGATTGTGATAGGAGGTAGATAGATGTAAAATTAATATTTATAAGAAAATGTGTATGATTGTATGTGTATGATTAAATGAATATATATAAAAGTAGGATTGTAATTTATGGAAGATGAGTAGAGGAAGGAATAAGAAAAAGGAAATTAACGAGAAAGCAAGAAAAGGAAATAGAAGGTGAATATGGTGATTTAAACTGGTGATATTAAAACTGATTGTGATAAGAGAAAAAAGATGTAAAATGAATAATTATAAAAAATGTGTATGATGAGTGATGGTAGTTATTGGAGAGGATGGGTAGTTGGATATTGGCAAAGGGGTGATGTTAGTGTATTAATGGTGACAAGTATAGAGTTAAGTATGAATGATTATGTAAGTTGAAATTTAGCTATGGGAAATAAAAAAGAAAAAAGAAATGTAGAAGTGAAGTAAAATTGGATGGGTAGTTAAAAGAGAGAAAGTTAGTTTAGGAGAATAATTGTCGATGAAGTGGGACGAAGTCTCTGTTGATGCTGGTGTGACGATTAACACAATTGGGACTATTTTTCTTTTCCTTGACTATTTCCAAATCCTCAAAAAGGTCGAGTTTGAGATAATCTCTACCAGGGATGTTATGAAGAAGAGAGATATCATCTGGTACCTTGATTGTGTGGTTGTGATATTTAAGGTGATGTGAAAAAGAAGAAGTGTTCTCTACCTTAGAATGTTCAATGGCCCTGGTTACTAGAGATCTACAAGTTCTACCGATGTAAGTGGCATCACAGTCAGAACACTGAAGTTTATAAACTCCACTGCGTTTAGTGAAGTGAATAGGGTCCTTACTATTGCATAATGATCTACTTAGTTTATTGTTGACTTTAAAGGAAATCTTAATATTTTCAACAGAATTCAGGATAGTGTTTTTTATTGATTCAGAGAGTGTTGGACAGTGAAATGGTAATGAGAAATAAGATGGGGAATCTAAAGTGATGTTAGGGTAAGCTGATTGTTGAAGCAATTTACGTTTCTTTTTATAAATGAGTTTGTGGATTATATCAGGGTTGTAGCCATTGTTGAAAGCAATCTGTTTGATAATGTTTAGTTCTTGGTTGTAGTTATTTTTGGATAATGGGGTGGTTTCTAAACGATGAATAAAACTGTTGAATGCAGATAATTTATGAGAAATAGGATGGTTGGAATTGAAATGTATGACATGATCTGTTTGTGTAGGTTTTCTGTAGATGCTATAATCAAAGACATTATTTGTTCTATTGATGGACAGGTCCAAGAAATTGATGGAGAAGTTTGATTCTAATTCCATAGTGAATTTAATATTGGGGTGAATATTATTGATAGTATTAAGTAAGGAAGAAGCAGTATTTGAGTTACCTCTAATGAACACTAAGCAATCATCAACGTAACGGAACCAGTGTAGAATTGTATTGTTAGTCATAATTTGAGTGGATTCTAGATGATTCATGAAGAGGTCAGATAAGAAGGGGGAAAGACAACTTCCCATGGCTAAGCCATCAGGTTGTTTATAAAAAATGTTGTTAAAAGAAAAGTAATCTTGTGATAAACACAAGGAAAGTGTATCTATTATTGGTGTGATGACTGAAGGATTAATTGATTTAGATGTAAGAAGGTTGTGGACTAACTGAATAGTTTCAAGTTTAGGAACAGAAGTAAAGAGATTGCTAACGTCAAATGAAAGCATAGTCATATCTGGAAGGAGATTTATATGATTGAGTTTAGATATTAGTTCGGATGAATTTTTGATGGAAAAAGTGGGAGAAAAACCTGTTATGTCCTTGATTACTCTGAGTATGAATTTAGAAATTATGGAGACCGGATTATTATGCAGTGTTTTATTTTCTTTCATGCATTCCTTCTTGTTCCACTGTTAAACATATTCATTTTTGCTTTGTCCATATTACAATAAAATGATAAAAAATATTGCACACGCAAATAAAATCACATAAACTCATTTGCTTATAACAGTTGAACGGTTCTACTATTTTTTAATTTGAATAATTTAGTTAGCTTAGGATTTAACTCGACACAACGTACACAGCACTGTACCTGCCTACTACCTATACCACAGCAAAACTAGTAAGAACCATAGAAGCTCAACTCCAAGATATTTTTATGTAAATAAACTCTTTTGAACCCAACTCCAAGATAGGTTTATGTAAATAAACTCTTTTGAACCAAAGTAACCATCTTCCAATTAGGTCTATTTGGCTCTAAAAATAAGTTTAACTTTGAGTTCTTTAAACAACTAAATTTTCCCTAATTGTATGTATATGGAGAAAGGTTTATATGGCTATATTATACAAAAATGGAGTTGGGTTAGTCTGGATCTCAGATACAGAAGTATTGTGTGACAATTTAAAGAATTTAGGAGTCTACTATTAAAGAAGAATCAGTCTTAAAAGTCTACATACAATGAAGAAGGGAAAATCAAAATATTAGAATATGATACACGTGCTGCCATCTACTCAAAGAATTATTAAACGTTAGTTTATTTGAATGCCACTCATTGTAACCGTGCCGTGAACATACCCACTTAAACCATATCACGTGATACCACATGCGTTACGATACTCAATAGAAGCGAATAAGTAATGCCCTTCTGGCACGAAGTTATGTGTAATTTTTCTGTTTCGTTCCGTTTGATTAATTAAATCCTTGACACTTTGCACGTCTCTGTGCGAAAAATTTGATATTTTGGGACCTTAGATTTTTTATAGAGATTTACATGAGAAAATGATTAAGTATGTACGCAGACATATATTGCTCTCCTACTATTCTAGTTAATATGATCGCAAGGTAAATCAAAGACAAAATACTACATTATCATTTATTAATATACTGTTCTTTAACACCAACATTTCTCTTCGCTAAAATAATTTCATCGAAGAACTTCAAAGCGGTCCTCTCTGTTTAATCGGCATAATTTGTACATATCACTGTTGATCTGGACCGTAACAGCCTTTTTACACATCACAATGTGTAAAATTATTTGTACAACTCGTCTCGTTGAATTCTGATTCACTTGACATCCTTATAGAAGTCCTTACTTTTGAGTTCGGATACAGCATAATCGGCGGCCTTAAATAAAAAACATAAATTATTCAATTAATTCAATTTGGGTTTGTTATATTACATTTTAATATAAAATCGGAAATCTTGATAACATACAAATCGTGTTACTATAGAAATGCAACATGTAATGGTCGATGTAAAAAAACAAATACTATAGCTTACATGCAGTAGTGTTGACGATGAAAGTATTAACAATAAATGGAATTTAGTTCTGCCGTCCTAACATGAAAGGTCCTATCTACAAAATTTAGGTTTTGAGAAAATCAAGTTTTTGTTTCTTTTCATTGTATAACGCTTGGTAATTTAAGAAAGTCTTTATGTTTTATTTTATATATTATGTCAGAGAATAGAATTTAATTGCTAGTCAGAATTTTGTTTTATTCTTTCCAGATTAGTCGATTTTTGATTACATTGCCACTTAGGACAATTTAGCTTAGTGTATCTGAAGTACGTTTTTTGTATTACTTACTAACATTGAACACTTTTAATGTTATTATACTATAATAAGAAGACTATTATTATACTATTAAAACTTTATAAATTTTATAAAATAATAGAACAAAAAACAGAATTCCTCAAGAGTGGAGATCAAATGAATGGGAATTAATTTATAAAACACAACACTAAAATTAACAACCAAAGTGATCACAAATAAACTGAATGAAATTATAACACTAGCAGAAGAACCACAAGGTTTTAGATGGGGAAGATTATGCATCGACGCTATATTTATAATGAGGCAAATGCAAGAGAAATCATTAGAATACAACAAACTGGCATATCTATGTTTCGTGAAACTTAAGAAGGCATTTGACTGGGTTAAACTAATAGACGTTATCCACTTACTGTACGCAAAGAGAGATACCTCCAGGAATAATCAAAACGATCGAAAATAACTACCAAAAAAACACAATGAAAGTAAAAGTAGAAGAACTAACCGACCCTATTGTAGCTGGCAATGGGATAAGGCAGGGAGATTCTATGAGTCCTCTATTATTTAACCTGATTATGGATGAAATAATAAGAAAAGAACTAAAAAAGGATACCAAATGGGAGAAAAACAACTTAAAATAATCTACTATGCAGACGACGCAATACTGCTCTCTCAATATGATTTACAACTTATGCTACACCAATTTAATATAATCGCCAGAAAAATGTTAATTTCCCCAAAAAAGACAAAATGCATGCTTACGACAGCAAATTTACAAAGGTGTAAATTGGAGCTGGAAGGTCAGATAATAGAAGAAGTGATGGAGTTTAAATATATAAGCATCACATTATCTAGCTACAGAAAGCTCAAAACTGAAGTGGAAGGCAAAACATTGATGGCAAAACACTATGGGATAGAGCTACGATAAGATACAGAGTACAGAGATACGATTTATATGCAAGGTGAGGTACATCAGGCAAAGTAAGAATATCAAAAACTGTGTAAGAAATAGAAGAGTAGAATGGAACGATCATACAAGCCTAATGACAACAAATAGAGTAGTAAAGACGGCAAGAGACGGTTCCCCAATAAGAAGATGATCAGTAGGAAGACCACGAAAATGATGAAACGGCAACTTACTGGTGTAACGACTATTTTGCTTACCACAGGGTAAGAATATGGGGGACAAGATTGGGCAAACAAATAATCGAAACAAGTGCATACGACACTCAGTTGGTTGTTGGAGAGCTGGGTCGTGGATAAGTTGAAGATATTGGGGGTTGGATTGGGGCAACTACAAAAAGGAAATAAAAGGTACTTATACGAATCTATTGGACAAACAGAATGAAAATAAACGGAAACACCTCAAGAAATTTAATATAGGGCGCCACTTGAGGTGCCCAATTATACCTATTACAACCACTAGTTGTAACTAGGGAAATAATTGTATAACATCAAAAATATAGAAAAAAATATCTTTTTCAAATAAAACTCAAAATAGATCAGAGAAACAAATTGAACGTTTATTCTTGTCTCAAACAAAACAGATCAAAAATACATATTATAAAAGAAACATATCATATAACATAATACAAATAACAAAAATTTACATGTTCTTTGTTTACTATATTATGGCCAATTAGATTATCAAAAATTAAGGATCCTTGTTAATGAAAACATATAAATTTAACCTTATATATGAAATATCGTTTCTACATAATTATCAAATTAAAATTGTCATAACAAAAAAACAAATTAAGCTTGCTGTCAGGTATCACATTTAATTTTGATGACAAAGAATGAAAGCAATTATTACTTTAGCCAAAAAATATCTGTCTTTACTTTGAAAAATTAATATATTGAATTGTTACCTTAATATTTTTTTTATATATACAAACACTTTGAAACTTTACATCTCTGGGGAAGCTACTCGGACAAAACTTTCAAAACTGGAAGGCAGCAACCATCAGGAACTAGTTCTACACTCCAGGACAAAACGATTGGAACAGGAACTTAGTGGACGAAATAAGCCGACTACGGGGACATCCTATATCATACTTCTTAGAAGCTTCCGGTATTTATTCAAATCTGATAGTATTATCATTGACCGGTCCTAAGACAGTTCAAAAGAAATTGAATCCTCTTTGATTCAAAAATGGCCCAACATTTCACATCCGCAAAAAGCGTCTACCACCGTTTCAAATAGGTTCTTGGACTCACATTGTAGCACGTCTGCTCTGCTTCAAATCTAGTCGTCGACTCTATTGTCACATGTCTGCCCTGTTTGAAATCTCTAAGTCGACTCCTATTGTCACATGTCTGCCCTGTTTGAAATCTCTCAGTCGACTCTATTGTCACATGTCTGCCCTGTTTGAAATCTCTAAGTCGACTCTATTGTCACATGTCTGCCCTGTTTGAAATCTCTCAGTCGACTCTATTGTCACATGTCTGCCCTGTTTGAAATCTCCAAGTCGACTCCTTGCTTCGTTACATTTTACCAGAATCTAGCCAAAAATTTCCCTTCCGTCTTGCAGCCTGTCGCCGACCCACTTAAAACCAAAACAAATATTCCCTACTCTTATTGACAAAAAAAAAAAATTTAAATGTTCCTTTATTGCCTAAACAAACAAATATTCTTTTTTTTGACCCTCGTCTAATACCGAAAAACAACTATAATATTAGGGGAATTCATGGTTTATTGCGTTTTAACATAATACCTCTTTGGCGACAAAAAACTTGTTATCTTACCTAACATTGCAACACAGAGATAAAAACATATTTCCAGCGTTAATACGCATTTAAAAATCTCGTCAAAAAAAACTTGAAATATTATTTCGATTGGTTTCTTTGGTAAAAACAACAGGAGCGTAACACAGAAATCTTTTCTATACACTTTAAATAAAAAAACGCTACACTGGAGGTACATTGAAAAACAGATAGTCATATCTATATAAAAAGAAGAAGTTTTAAAACTTATTACACAATTTACATCCTAATATATGTAACATAAATGATAATAGTTAGATTCGAAACTAGAATCCGAATCATCTTCATTTATATTATTGTCGAATTTATTGGACGGCCCAGGTGATTAATCTGGATCATTCTCACTTTTGGCTAAATACCATACGTTTACATTTATCGCTGGTCTGGCTGAGACATGCTGCATTGCTACAACCAGAAAATATAGATGCATGTGCGTCTATATTTTTTGCTAGTACTACAAACAATAATTACGATCAGTTATTGCTGATACCTAAGGTAACATTATTAAACTTCATCATCATCATTCAGCCCATACTCGTCCACTGCTGAACATAGGCCTCCCGTAGTTCACCCCACAAATTTCTGTCCTGAGCCGCCTGCATCCAATTTTGATGTGTCCGTTTCAGGTCATCCGTCCATCTTGTTGGTGGTCGTCCTCTATTTCTAAAGGCATCTTGTCTGGGTCTCCACTCAAGAATGCGTTTTGTCCATCTGCCGTCCTTCGTTCTCGCGACGTGCCCTGCCCAGTTCCATTTTAAGGTTGATATTCTTTTGATTGCGTCGGTTACTCCCGATCTACGGCGCAATTCTGTGTTGGGTATTCGGTCTCTCAGGGTTAATCCCAACATGGACCGTTCCATTGCCCTCTGTGTTGTTCGAATTTTGTTTGCGGACGTCTTAGTAAGTGTTGGCGTCTCCGCACCATAGGTTAGAACTGGCAGCACACATTGATCGAAGACTTTTCTCTTCAAGCAGATGGGAAGGGCTGATTGGAAAACATCTCTTAGCTTTCCATAAGCTGCCCATGTCAACCCTATTCTACGTATTAGTTCATTGGTCTGGTTATCTCTACTTAAGCGAATTTCGTGTCCCAGATATTTGTATGCTGATGTTTGTTCTATACTTGTTCCAGCTATGTTGATGTTCTCACTCAGAACAAGGTTTGTCATCACTTGTGTTTTTGAGTTATTGATCTTTAAACCCACTTGTGTAGAGGCATGGTAGTCTTTCGCACATTTCGATGGCATGATCTATGCGGTCTGTTATCAGGACTATATCGTCCGCGAACCTGAGGTGACTAAGCTGCTCTCCATTTATGTTTATGCCCTTTTCGTCTAGGTTTGCACGCTTACACATGTATTCCAATAATGTTGTAAACAGTTTTGGCGAAATGGTGTCGCCCTGGCGAACTCCGCGATGAATTTTGAACTTGTGTGTATCTTCATGGAGTCTGACGCATGCCGTGGCATTATCATAGATATTTTTGATGACAGTGGTGTAGCGGTGATCTATTCGGCACTCTTTTAAAGCTTCTAGCATTTTCTGGTGGTTTACTGTGTCGAATGCTTTCTCATAATCCACAAATATTAGGACGAGGGGTTTATTGTACTCTATACATTTTTCGATGAGGCTTTTAATAACTTGTAGATGGTCGTTTGTGCCGAAGCCTGACCTGAATCCTGCCTGTTCGCATGATTGGTAAAAGTCCATTTTGTTCGAAAGTCTGTTTGTTATGACTTTTGCCTTGACTTGTTATTATTAAACTTACCCTTCATCCATTTCTCACAATATATTTACATAAAATACC